AACGAGCGCTAACTTTGGAAGTATACTTAAATTCGGCTACACTAGCGGGGTTGATTTTTTATTTTCTTTGGTATAACTTCAATTTACTCAATTTTCTTTGTAATATATAAACCATCTTTTCCGCAAGTTTATTGTTTTCTGTTTGGTAATAAATTATTATAAGATCCATTTTGTTACATCTGGTGATTCGTTTATTTGGCAATCGCCAATGGCAGTCAGCAGGATTTAAGAACATTTGTTGTTCGACCTGTTAGTCAAATGCGTTTTGTTAAAATATACTTTTTCACTTTTTTGGTCTTTTGGAAAATGTTGTTTGTGCTGTATTTAGACCCCTCTAACAAGAAATTTGTTTTGCATGCACACGTATAAAAATTGCGGTTTTTATCCAACGCAATCATAGGTTTGAACGTTGTTTTCAATTTAGACTTGTTTATATTTTTTCGTTTGGGCTTGTATTATATTTGCCTTCGGGTTTATATGATCCGTTCATCCTATTTTGACTCCTCAAAATTCAAGAGTCTATCCCAAATTGAGGTAAATTATGTGGCCTTCCAATAACCGTTTCGATTCCTAACATCACTGAAGAGACATTAATTGTCGAAATCCGGATATGGTGTACAAAAAATCTTTGCACCTTTGTTTGCGGTATACCATCTTCGCCGCAAGTTTATTGTTTTCTGTTTGGTATTAAATTTAAAGTTAAGATCCATTTATAACACCTTGTGATCCGTTTATTTGGCAATCGCCAATGGCAGTCAGCAGGATTTAAGAACATTTGTTGTTCGACCTGTTAGTCAAACGCGTTTTGTTAAAATATACTTTTTCACTTTTTTGGTCTTTTGGAAAATGTTGTTTGTGCTGTATTTAGACCCCTCTAACAAGAAATTTGTTTTGCATGCACACGTATAAAAATTGCGGTTTTTATCCAACGCAATCATAGGTTTGAACGTTGTTTTCAATCTAGACTTGTTTATATTTTTTCGTTTGGGCTTGTATTATATTTGCCTTCGGGTTTATATGATCCGTTCATCCTATTTAGACTCCTCAAAATTCAAGAGTCTATCCCAAATTGAGGTAAATTATGTGGCCTTCCAATAACCGTTTCGATTCCTAACATCACTGAAGAGACCTCAATTGTCGAAATCCGGATATGGTGTACAAAAATTTTTGCACCTTTGTTTGCGGTATACCATCTTCGCCGCAAGTTTATTGTTTTCTGTTTGGTATTAAATTTAAAGTTAAGATCCATTTATTACACCTTGTGATCCGTTTATCTGGCAATCGCCAATGGCAGTCAGCAGGATTTAAGAACATTTGTTGTTCGACCTGTTAGTCAAATGCGTTTTGTTAAAATATACTTTTTCACTTTTTTGGTCTTTTGGAAAATGTTGTTTGTGCTGTATTTAGACCCCTCTAACAAGAAATTTGTTTTGCATGCACACGTATAAAAATTGCGGTTTTTATCCAACGCAATCATAGGTTTGAACGTTGTTTTCAATTTAGACTTGTTTATATTTTTTCGTTTGGGCTTGTATTATATTTGCCTTCGGGTTTTTATGATCCGTTCATCCTATTTTGACTCCTCAAAATTCAAGAGTCTATCCCAAATTGAGGTAAATTATGTGGCCTTCCAATAACCGTTTCGATTCCTAACATCACTGAAGAGACATTAATTGTCGAAATCCGGATATGGTGTACAAAAAATCTTTGCACCTTTGTTTGCGGTATACCATCTTCGCCGCAAGTTTATTGTTTTCTGTTTGGTATTAAATTTAAAGTTAAGATCCATTTATTACACCTTGTGATCCGTTTATTTGGCAATCGCCAATGGCAGTCAGCAGGATTTAAGAACATTTGTTGTTCGACCTGTTAGTCAAATGCGTTTTGTTAAAATATACTTTTTCACCTTTTTGGTCTTTTGGAAAATGTTGTTTGTGCTGTATGTAGACCCCTCTAACAAGAAATTTGTTTTGCATGCACACGTATAAAAATTGCCGTTTTTATCCAACGCAATCATAGGTTTGAACGTTGTTTTCAATTTAGACTTGTATATATATATATATATATATATATATATATATATATATATATATATATACATGTGTTATCCTGCTCATTAATATCCCATGATGTGTGCTAAACACTCAAGCATTTTACATTGCAATGAGTACAAAGGGTCATAAATTTTAATATATGCAGCCTCCTCCATTTACAGCTGCTTCCTTTGAAACTTAAATAAGAAATAAAATAAAACAAACGTTTGCGTTATTTCGCAAAGGTTTGCGTTATATCGCAAAGGTTTGCGTTATATCGCAAAGGTATGCGTTATAACGCAAAGGTTTGCGTTATTTCGAAAAGGTTTGCGTTATGACGCAAAGGTTTGCGTTATTTCGCAAAGGTTTGCGTTATAATTAACGCTATAATTAATGCAAACATAGGAAGAAATATAAAAAAAAAAACGTGTGGCGCTAATACGCTTCCGTACAAAACAATTGACGACACAAACAAATTTGAAAGACAATCATTTTTGTTAAAAAAAAGATGAACTGTACATGTACACCATCTACAAATCACTATACACCATTAACAGTTTTGAAACTTAGATTAAAGACACCACTAAACTAACGCAAGCTATATTCCATGAGTAGACAAAGGTATTGGTCACAGTGCAATCGGCGATGTTGTTGATTTCTCAGCAGTTTTAATTTAAAACAAAGAATCCATGCAAACATGTCATTGGATTTAAATCAATCAAAATTAATATAACAGCCAAAAATACCAGTTTAACTTTGTCTTAAAATGATAAAGCTTTAGTGATACAAAATGTCAGATGGCTTTTATAATGATTATAATGAAATGAGTCTGATCTGTACATGAAGTTGACATACATGTGAAAGTTAACTTTAAAGGGTTTTACTTATAATGAACAGAACAAGCTTGATTTCAAATATAAAAAGCTATAACTGGTAATATCGGAGAAATATGCTTCTGAAAAAAACGTGTGACGGGCGAACATATATACGTACCTACATACATACATACGATAGATTATAGGTAAATCCATTTGACAAAGAGTATGTAGTTCCTAGATACAAAATACCAAAAATCTAGTCTATATATACTTGTATATTCATATTTACTGTTTGTATATTTATGCAAATTAAGAGTGTGAGTAAACGGATAATAGGATAAACGTCAATGAAATAGCAACCTCACGACAGCAAAAATAGATCTAGAGGAAAAAATACAAAATACAAACTTCAACAACAGGCAAATGTCTTAATAGAAAAGAAAGAATATGGGGTATCCATCTATGACACAAAATCAGTACATGCACAACCAAAAACACAAAAAGACAAGGAACAACGCTTTTATTGCTGTTCTTCATCCAAAAGCCACAGTGAAGCCTTCAAAACATACCATAAAAAATCTCACCTCACTGAATAAATACACCATAACAAAAACAAACCATAAGAGCACACACCTCTAGCACGGGGAAACTTTCTAAGGCCTCCACACAACACGAGTTTGACATTATGACAAGAACTAAGTAAGTAAAATTAGTTGTAGTCAATACCAGTAATAAATCAGTTTAACAGAGACTATTCGACATCAAATTTATTATAAAAAAAAAAAACTGTGATCCATTATGCTAATTATATTAACGCCAAACGCGCCTTTCGTCTACATAAAACTAATTATTGACGTTTGAATCAAAATAGCCAAAATTACGAAGTGAATTGAAATTGAAATCCCAAAATTCCAACAAAAAAAAAAGTGTCAGATCTACCTAAGTCTAGCGATGACTGGGGGTAGTAAATCCTTATAAGTATTACGAATGCTTTTAACGTTTCATAGCAGTAAATTTAAAGGAAATGACCGTATCAATAATATTTAGGAACAACACATGAACACTGTCTGACTGCGCTGTCGATACCCTCGGGAAATGAAATGCCCTCCAGCAGTGGCATCGGCCCGGTTCTTGTTAAATATAAGATAATCTGAAACTTTGAGCAGTAAAAGTGATCAGCAACACAAGATCTAAATATTTAATATATGAATAATGTTGAAATCTTTAAAATTGACTGCTCGGTGTCTGGCATATAAAATGTTAAACCTTGTATCTATGATGGTAGATCTATCTATGGTTTTATTTACAGGAGTTTTGCTCTAAATCACAATTTCTACCCCTTTTTTATTTGCTTGTTATCGTGTTAACTGTAATGAATAGACAGATCGAAGCTCTGTCCAGCAAAACAAGATTTTTCCCAACATTGTTGTGTTGAATGAAATTTCTACAAAAAAGCCAGGTGAGCAATACATGCTACTTGCTATGGAGCCTCAAGGCACAAGCTGAATTTTGAGAGAATTTTTCTCTTCGATCAGAGGCGAATTTGAGGGGGCGGCGGCCCGGGCCCCCTTTTGGAGTTACATATGGTTAATGTATAGACTTTTTATATGTTCCAGTGACCACTCCTAACGTTTCCTAGTTTGGGGGTCCTTTTTCAAAATCCCGATCAGTCGATGTATTACGGATAATTCTTATTAAGTATGCTGTCTAATATAATTATTATAAGTTTGGGTTTTTTTTTTACATCTCTTAAGGGTAGATTTAGAAGAAAAAAAACGGATAAATGTACATATTTTATAAATTAAATATCCAACAAAGTGGGTGTATATTCCACCTTTAAACGTGGTCGTACATGGTTTATTATGTACACTAATCATTCAATAATATTGACAATTTAGTACGTGCTAGATATTGAACGTTAATAGAGGTTCAAAAGGTTGACCGTATTTTGTGTATGCATCCCTAATTAACATAAATATGATGAAATGTTGTCTTACTAGTTATATTCTTTTTCGGAGCCTCGAATAAGTTAATATTAATATTTTAAGTATCTTGCATCAGTTACAAGTAGGAAAATCCAATGATTTGACAATTCCAGATTTCGACACACTACGAACTAAATATTAACCTTAATATTTTCAAATAAATACTGACCTAGTTTATTTTGCACAAACATTCATTTAACAAGAAAATCAAGGTATGTTCGGTCAAAGTCAGTTCACTTGTGTGTATTATAATATAGGTTTCTTTTAAAACGCATTGATATATGTTTTAATTTAACTGTTTAATGTACTAAAATATATATATTCCACAGAAAAAAACTAAGCAACATATTTAACGTCACGATATAAAAAGAAAATAACAATCAGCACACTTTTTATAAATCAACACCACTCAATAAATTGACATTCGTGTAACATGTGTAAGTACTATGTTGAAACCTTTTGAAAAAACTAATATTCCTTTGGAAACCCCGTCATTGTGTTTTTGCCTATTCTGTCAATAGATCTAGGTATTCAAAAGGGTCAGCACTTATCTGCTTAAATTACTATTATTTGTTTATATTTAGGGACGTATCACTTATTACCGACTGGGGGCTCGTACGTTTTTATATATTTTGAAAGACACTGGATAATTTTTTAAACGTGACTCCAGAATAAATATACATGTATCTTGACAAAATCTCGACGACAGTGGAGTCTTGCCTTGACCATGTTGACATACATTTGTACGTCATCTAAACAGAAACATCCGGTTATAAAATCCCCATAATACATGTAATACTTATCATATTTCTGAACACTTTCTGTTATACTTTTGTCTTTAAATATTATAAATGGACGTTTAAATCAGCCTGCCTTCGTTCTCCGCTGAAGAATTTTTTTCTCGTAATATATATAAAGATAATTAATCCAAAATTAGCATAAACGGTGGTATCAAATATATAAAAATAAAAACATCAAATATGAAATTTGATATGAAAATAGTCAACCAAATCTTTATGAATTCATTATAAGTACTCATATCAAGGATATCTTGAAAGGAGACATACATTATTCGTACATTACACTTGCACCGATCAGAATGTTTGAAACAACTAGTTATGTTCTCATAATTTTAATTGGTTCATTAAGACTTGGAATAGATTTGATAGTTAACAATCAACAAAGAAAAAGTACCGTGACATTCTATTCTACACAGCGTTAAAATACCATCAAAAGTTCATCATATAAAAAACAAACAGGTTTGGAGCTTGTACTTTTCAGTAATAAATGGTATGGAATGACTGATCCAGTTTCCGATTTTTTTGTATGTTTACAAGTATTATTTTTTAAAGACAATTTCGTCGTTTCAGAATCTTAAGGATCGAGGGTAATTTCATTGTTCGTACCCCAAAATGAAAACAAAACGTTGAACGTCACGTCATTAGTTGAATTTCAATTGTTTTGGACGTTGCAAGCCAATCACACAGGCACAACGTTTTTGGTGTATGCTTTTGAAAATATTTCCCAGAATCCATGAGATTCTGATACGGCGATTGATTACTGAGATATATTTTTTATAAATGTAGTCAGATAGTTGGGTGATTGGATACATTCTAAACGTTAAGCGGCAAATATTACTTTTATATTCAGAACGATAATCATTACAAAGTAATGAAATATGACTCCTTGAGCGAAGTTTTGTTTACATTATATTCATTGTAAATTTTGGTAATTAACTTATTTTGCGAACCTGATTACACAGAATGGATATACCTCCCGAAATGATGAAGGCTATAGAGCAAATGAAGTCATTGCCACCCGTTCCATGGCCAGAGTATGAAGGAGTACCATACCCAGCTTTTCTATCTTTCCGAATGAAAGGAGCGGAGCAGATACTACAGGGGATAAAGAACTTCCAGTCACGGGAAACAGATATATTAATATGCACGCATTCAAAATCAGGTACATGTATAATAGTTGTATATTGACCACACTGTAAACAACCTCAACAGGTAGGACCAATAACCTCCGAATTTATTTCACATCAGAGCCATTTTCAAAATGTTTTTCATCTTTGCTTAAATTCACGATATCGCAGCTCCATGTTAGTAGTTTAAGGTTCAGGATATACTTTTTAACATTTTTTAAACAAATCGCCAATTGATAAATCCTGCAAAAAACTGAAAACAACACGTTATAAATTTCATGCATCCGAAGCGCTTTTCTGGATTTACCTTCATCAGGAACGCTCAAAGACGAATATTCTTTTAAAAAGCCAAGGGTGTATAGGAACAGAACAGAATACAGAAACAGTTGACGAGATATATGAACAGAAATGACCTAAAATAATAACATATAAGGTCAACTTTGCCTGGGAGTTGAAACCTTGCTTTCTTAATAATTTCATAATGTAAACGAAGTAAGCACTACTGAGCTGATGATACCCTCGGGGATTGATAGTCCACGAGCAGCGTTATCGACCCAGTGCTGCAAAAAAAAAAATGAAAACAACATTTTTCACCGGAATCGGCACAAAAGCGCAATTTTGACAGATTTTGGTCAATATTGAGTATTTATCACAAATATGTATAAAAAGGACATCCATAATGTTTATAAATGTTTTAAGTATATTATGTAGACTCTTTACTATTCAATTTCCAGTATGACAACTTCGAGATTTTGATCATGTGAGTGAAACAAATACAGGGTAAATTGGCCTAACCTCTTTCACAATCTATTTTCCCGTCTCTGTATAAAAATAAACAGATGTGGAACGATTGTCAATGAAACCTAATGAAGTAAAGGTTAAAACTATAGGTAAACGTACGGCCTTCAACAATGAGCAAAGGCCATACCACATACCATATGTGTTACTTTAAATTGGGACTATATTTGTAGACAGCGAACAGATTAGGGAATGCCCATATGACAATTAATTCCCTATAATTCCTTTCCTAAACACTTTGAGAAGTCAAAGATGATAATTATTTATATTAACCGTATTGATGAGGGGCCTGATGGGTTATTTTCGTCCTTCGTGATCGGCGCATTTTCGCTATCGTGATCCGTTTTTCTACAGATTTATTTTTTTTTATATTTTCGTGATCCGTGATCATGGAAATTTATTTTCTGTGAATCGTGATTGACAAAAAAATCAACTCGTGAATCGTGATGAGACCCCTCCCCCCATCAGGCCCCTCATTGATATGGACTGTTGGTGTGGATGTCCCATTTTGAAGAGTATATGCATATTTCATCGCTTTTGTTAAATTTCTTTATTTACAGTAATCGCTAAATTTCAATATCTAATCATCCTTTTATTTATTGTTGTTTCAGTTTATATTATTTCACTTATCACATAATTTTAATAAATCGTTTCTTGGTGTTATGTGTATTGAGGCATTGACCTTTTTGTTTTCTTTCATTTTAAATGTTAAAAGACGCGGACCTTGCAGAAGACACCTATTGATTTAAGATTTTATATTGCTACATGTATAAATAGCAAAACCGTATTGGATATTTACCGCAAAGAGTTATTTTATTGTCACAAATTCTATTAATTACCCACACCACTTCATCGAACGCGGTCTCATCTCATGAATATTATTGAAGGCTAGCCTCATGAATATTAACCCCGGATAGCTTGCCTTCACACTAGTATGAAAGTCGTATCTCCGCGAATTGCGGCCATGTGTACTGACGCAGCTTTAAACCACCAGCAATTAACAATAGGGCATGCAAACGTTCAAGTGTATCGACCTAATTTCAGTTCTACAAATGAATGTAGACACCAATTTATAAATATGTGTTCATTTAAAAATGATTTAAAATACACTGTTGTTTGTTATCACCACATTGTTAGTACATGTACACACATATATATGTTGACTGTATTGCGCTTCTTAAATTTTTCGTTAATTTATTTGTCGTTCGTCACTTCATCATTAATATAATGACATATGGTCCGATTACCAAATGCTGAAACTATCCACTAGAGACCAAAGGAAGAGCATATGTTTTGCTAGCAAGTAGCTATAAATGTTTTTTTTTATAAATAGTTATTGGAAATTGATACATGTTCTGTTGTCTTGAAGAATAAAAAAAAAAAAAATAAAGTCTCCCACGGAAAAACCATTGAAAAGAAGTGTTTGGTTTAAAAAAAAAGATTTTTGGAAATTTTAATTTTGCAAGGAGAAAAGCAACTTTTATTGATATATTAACACTTTTTAACATTTAATACATACATAGTATATAACTAAAGCAGAGCATGTAATGAAATCAGAGGAAAAATAATTTACCGAAAATAAAACCGAGGCAATTCAGTGATTATACATTTCTCTATTGCAGGCACCCATTGGTTATATGAAATATTGGCATTGATTATAGGTAATAAAACAGAATTAACAAAAGAGACAAAGGGAGAAAAGATGTTGGAAGCGATACCAGAGTTATCCATGCTTGATGCACTTCCATCTCCCAGAATTCTCGACACGCATGTGCGGTTCCAGTATATACCCACTCGTCATATTGAAAAAGGCGGGAAAATTATTCACATGATGAGGAATCCTAAAGATGTCAGCATTTCACTCCATAACCACGCAAGGAAAGATATTTGTGTCAATTTAGATATACCATGGAATGAGTACTTTGAAAACTGGATGACGGGAAAAGGTAAGATTCTTTCGTACATAATTCCATATATATACATCAATTTCTAGTTGTATGGCAGGACATCGACTTACCATATTGTTTTTTGCATGATAATTGACCTATAACTACATGTACTGGCATTTGCAAAGACATATTGTTTTTGTATACCAATTGACCTATAATAGCTACATGCACATTGTACTGGAATTTGTATACCAATTACAGATAAAATTTTGATATGTGTTTTTCCAACAGCGTCCAAGAAACTCGTTATTGATTTTAGTGCTTTATAAGATTTCTTTCCAATTAACGGATCCAAAATATGATGGAACCAATTGTTTTTTCTCTCCTGTTTTGTCAATAGCATACAAATATCGACCGTCAAGTATTAGGCAGTCAATAAAAAAATACGGGCTACCTTATGATTTTAAAGAAGCATTCTGATAAAAAAAAATGCAATGAAGCATATCTCATACATGTACGGCTATTTTTTTTATAACTATTCCGTAAAAATGTAAGACACTATGAAATATATATTTGATAAACATCAAAAAGAATTATCTGAAAAATGAGTTTTGAACGCGACATAATGCACATTAATTATCAATTTCTAAACATAAACAATGATGTATTATTAATTTTTTTTGAAGTGCCGTATGGGTCATGGTTTGATTATGAACTTGGAATGGAACAAGCAGAAACGGACCATCCGGGACTGATTTACACTTGTTACTACGAGGATATGAAAAAGGTATATTCTATTATGAGGGTCTAGATGTGATTTACAGAATAGACGATAAAGGCCAATACTACAGAAAAATGGACAAAAACAGGGAATAGTGAAAAATAGGCAAAAACAAATAAAGAATAGTAAAAAATAGGCAAATAAATAAAGAATAGAAAATGTTGGGGCGCTAAGCTATAAAAAAAGAGAAAAATGAAAATGGGGCGCTTAACTATAAAGAATATAGAATAATGGTCCAAATTTATGAAGAAATTGAATAGAGAAAATGGCTAAAAATTAAACAATACAGAATTGTAGAGACCCTCATTAAGACCGTTTATTTTTTATTAGGTGCGACTTGCTGTATCCTCAGTTGCCGTATGCTCAGGTTTAAGAGGAAAATGAGTCGATCTTACGTCATTGGTTGAATTTCAACTGTTCAAATAAGTAAGCGTTGTGTACGCTATTTGAAAATATTACCCAGAATGCATTATATTCTAAAAACGTGGAATTTAATAAGCTTCGTAGACCTTATTACAGGTGTTCACTTAAGAGATTTTTACAAGTCGTATTAGCAGACAAATAAATAAGCGTTGTGTACGCTATTTGAAAATATTACCCAGAATGCATTATATTCTAAAAACGTGGAATTTAATAAGCTTCGTAGACCTTATTACAGGTGTTCACTTAAGAGATTTTTACAAGTCGTATTAGTAGACAATGAGAACTTCATAACAGTTTATCCCATAGTTCTCTGATCCTCAAAAAAGGACAAATGTTAAGTTCAGACAATTATTAAATATTATCATTGCACAGCGATTTTCGGTTTGAATATTAAGATTTATTTAAGGTGCATTCTCGATATCGACCCATGGTATGTTATTTTTAAAGATTTAACTTTCAAATTAGTCAAGGCAGTTTCATTATATCTACTTGTTGGACATATTCTTGTAGACACAGTACAAATTATCATCTATGTTATCGCCCTTGTGGTGTAACAGTTACAATGTATTTGAGTAAAAACCACAATATTTCAGTCAACATTTCTTTATTGAAGTAATAAAGGTTATTTTAAAGAAGTGTATTGTTGTGTAGGCCCCTACACTCGCAAACATACTCCAAAAACGAAATCAACTATTAAGTTTGTTCGTGAAAGACCGAGTTGACATCTCAATAGACCTCGTTACTGTTAAAATACATGAAAGTATTTCCAATCAAACATTTCATGACAACATTCAACATAGCAGTTATTTATAATGTTAATCATCATCTTAAGAGCATGCAATGCGTAGTGCGATTCGCTTGAATATATTGCATTGTTCTTTTCCGATAAAAAAAAACAAAAAATCACGTAAAATAATTTTATGCGTCCGAAGCGCTTTTCTGGATAATCTTCTTATTGATGTCAAATCCAACATGTATTGTTTCATTCTACGTTTTTGATGGTTGTCTAAGTGAACGGAAATGGCAAATTCAGTAAGACGTAACACAACTTCAAAAAGTAAATACACAAGTAAAGAAAATGAAATGATATTTGCAAACAAGGATAGGTGCGGAGTATGGGCGACGCCTAGGAGTAGATATGAGTGAGACAACACTACATTTATATCAATATTAGTACATTTCATTTCTTCAGAAAACAGTTCACAATTTCCCAAATGAATAAGTAAAATTCCTACGTCACAATGCTTAACTAAACTATATATATTCACAAGAAGGAAAGAAGGATAATTATATTCTAATTCGCCAGCTCAAACGAATATAAATTATTTAATAAATAAAACAACACATAAATAGGATAAGTGTGCCTACAGGTGTAGCAGCCTTTAATATTATTTACATTCACAATTCTTCAAACTAAAGTCCTTCACTATAATTCAGACAAGCACACTACCAATCCAATCATATAATAGAATATACAGTAACACAATCAAAATCTATCTACAAAAGAGGAAAAATTCATATTAATATAGTGTAATATATGTATATGCCCACGTTAACAATAACCAACTCATAAAAGGGGTGGGTGGGTGGGTAAACATATAACGAACTGCTGCTACGTTAACTATAGGCAAACATCGAATAACTTTATTTTCTCAAACGAACCCCTTAAGTAATACTTAATCATGCTTTTCACGAATCTCATGAGCGCATATACCCGTAAAAACCGCATTGCGGGTATATGCCATCCAATCAAATAGAACATAAACACACACCATGTGCTTGATGTAAACACACACACGTGTTTATAGTAAACAATCACTTGACCGTAACTACGTCATGTGACCAATACCTTTAATAAATATATTTATATTCTAATTCGCCAGCTCAAACGAATATAAATTATTTAATAAATAAAACAACACATAAATAGGATAAGTGTGCCTACAGGTGTAGCAGCCTTTCGAAAGACAAAGAAAGCCAAGCAGATCTGAGCAAAGAATAATACACATATATAGTATATCTATAAAAATTAAATTCCCAAACTTTTAGACACTGTCAGTTTTTCTTTAACATTTTCTCTTACATAGCCATCTTTTGCTTTATCTGAAGCCCATCTACCATGCTTCTTAAATAATCTATCATGAATGCCAGCTGATGCAGCTGCAGTAGCTCCACCTGATCTCAAGCTATGTAATCCAAATTTTGACTTATCTAAACCGATAGATTCCAGAGCTGATAATATAATTTCTCTAACTCTAGTATATGACAAAGGTTTAAAACCTCTCAGTCTATAAGATCTAGATTATTTACATAAATACATGGATCTAAATATATAATCTGAAGATGATGCATCTATATTGGATAATAACAAATATTTCTCCAACATACTAACAGGGCATGTTTGTGTATCTGTTCTAGCAATTAAAACTTGTGTGCCTTCTCTATAACGATCAGTTTTGCTTTTCTGTATGAGCAAAGAGACATGTGTATCAGCAAATTTTAAATCAGATCTTTTTAAATTTACCATTTCAGAAAATCTTAAAAACCCTGCGTAACTAATAAGACACATACAACAAATTCTAATTTCTATAAGATTGTTACATTCTTTACCATATTTATTAACAATATTCTTTAAAATATCTGGCGTAATTGGTTCTTTTTTATTTACAATAATATGTCCAATCTTTCTATGAGCTCCTTCTTTAACCGATATACACAACTGTGAATTACACGGATTAGAAAAGCCAGCTAGTTTGTGAGCCCAGCTTATTGAATAGTATGCTTCTTCAACCTTAGCATACGAGTTAAATGTCTTTGATATGTGTATTAAGTACAATGAAACATAAAAATCTGAAGCTGGTAAAGGTTTAACATAAGAATAGTTATTACACCACTTACAGAAATTGTTAAATGCATAAGAGTATTTTCTTTTGGTATTCTCGGCTTTCGAATAGAGACAGAACTCAGGTAGGCAGTTAGATAAAGATGATAAATCTTGGTCAACTGGCTTAGGCAAGGATTTCCAGACTCCACATGAAAAAATATCTGAAAAACGTGCATATCAAATAGAAATATAATCTACTATACTACTACTAGTTTACAATATATTTAAATGACCTTGCCAGATTTATTTTTCACACTGGCCATGTCAGGTGAGACCTTGCCTATTTAATTTGGCCTTGTCATCAGCATACGACCTTGCCATTAGATTGGCCTTGTCTTTACCATACGACCTTGCTCAACAGCCTTGTCGTAAATTCTTACATGAACTGAGCGTTCAATCTAATAGCTAAAACACTAGAAACGAATTCAGAAGATCCCAACAAGGACTTATTATTCATACCATGAATAAAAATGTTCTGATTTGGTTGAAATTCTAAAACATCAGTTACATAGGGTTGCAAATGCGAACCTTTTTTAAAAATCATTGTCCAATATGACGAGGAAGGCCACTTTGGAACTATCAAAGTGCCTCTAGCCTTACATAAAATCAAATGTTTGATTGCTCTACAGACAACGGAAATTGGAGGAACAATCCAATTTACTTCATTTTTCCAATTTTGCGTGAACGCATCAACTGCTTCAACACCTGGATTCCAGAATTTTGAATTAAATCTTGGTAATTTTTTATTCAAATTACTCGCAAACCTGTCCACAGTATGCGGACCCCACATATTATCTACTAATTTAAAAAATTCTTTATTTGTTCCCCAGTCTTCTATATCAATCATTTTAGAAATATAATCAGCTTTTGTATTCTTAGATCTCGGGATCCAAACAACATCTAAAGTAATATTCAATTCAGAACACAACTTAAAAATATTAATAGCTATCTCTTGTAAATGTACTTTTGCACTTCCTTTCTGAACAATGGAAACACAGTTAATATTATCTGTATGCCATTTAACACATTTATTTCTTAAACGGTTCTTAAACGACATCAAAGCCAACAAAATGGCTTGAAGTTCTCTCCATGTAGAACTCTTTAGGGACTCTTGTAAAGTCCACATCTGATGAAAAATATTAGAGTCAATATCTATCGAGTAAGCACCAGCAGCTACGTTACTGGCATCAGAATATACAAGCACGTGAGGAAAAGAATAACCTGCTAAATGTTTTCTGTTCAATCTTTTAATGTTATTCAGCCAAAATGTGAGCTCATTAAATACACAATCAGGACATTCCAATATTAACTTTAAATCCCACTTCACTCTGTATTCAATTGCCCAGTGTAAATAACGGGTCATTAAACTTGTTATGTTACCCATGACTGGACACATAGAAATTACCTTTCCCGTTACCTGAGCCAATTTACGTGCTGTGAAATTAGGAAAGTTATTCAAAATATCAACCAATGATGTAAGTGTATTATCAATCCGTCTATCTGATATACTAATTGAAAAATCAGACGAATCCCAAACTAAACCTAACCACTCTAAACATTGTACTGGCTCAAAAATAGATTTATCCATGTTAATTAAAAACCCTGCTTCTAACAAGGAGGTTTTCACGAAAGATGAACATTCGGAAGCTTCTTGTTTATTTTTACCCATTCCAAGTCCATCATCTAAGTAAAGTACAATATCTACGCCATTTTCTCGCCAATATTTTACGATTGGTCGTAGACATTTTGTGAATAGATATGGAGCAGATGATAGACCAAAGGCTAACACTGTAAAACAGTAAAATTTTTCGTTCCAGCAAAATCCTAAATATGTTTGTTGTTTAGTACATACGTCATAATGAAAATATCCAGACTTAAGATCAAATTTAAATTGATAGCAATCTTTTGTGAAATAATTTAAAGCCACTTTCCAGTCCTCAAATTTTATTCTTTCTTTTTTAATAAAAACATTCAGTTCACTTAAATCTAAAATCAGACGTTTTTTGCCCGAACTTTGAACTGCAACACTTAGCGGATTTACAACAAACGGTTGAAATGGAGTTTCAATAACACATCCGATATTCAGTAATTCTGAAATTGCTTCATTTACAAATTTAGAATGGACATTTGCAGATTTGTTATTCTTAAATGACATAGATGTAGGAGTCTGCAAAAATGGAATAACGTAACCATGTTGGATAGTATTGATAACAAATTCATTTGCACCTATATGTTTCCAGAATTGTATATGCTTGCGTAAACTATATTTTACCCCTTTTGCAACAGATGAAATATCAATATTATCAAAATATTTTGCATGTGACAGAAACAGTTCAAACTGTCCGTAAAGATTGCTTTCATCTAAAAAAGTAGTATCAAAATACTTATCATTAACTCTGTTGCCTTGATGTCCCTGGGACAGCTGGTTTTGTACTGAAAAGGGGGCACTGAGTTCGCCAGTGACCAAGCTGGTTGCAGTTGTAACAGATGTCATGAGATGAGGGTTCCCTCCGTCTGCTGGTCCGAAAGGGCGGCTGTTGATAATTGTTTTGTCGAACATTGTGTTGATTGGGCATTGGAGCAGGAGGAGCAGAAACAGTAGCTGTAACAGTTCTATAAGGATGAGGTCTTTTCTTTTCCTTGATACTCCTAATGGCACGGCTTTCTGCAGAACGAATGCGTTTCTCATCTTCTGAGTCGGAGGCAAGGTCGTCACTCTCATATTCGCGGACGGTTTTCCAGCCTGCGGGAGATTTGTCTGCAATGCGGATGAGTTTATTACGCTTCTTAACTTTGAGGATAGCACCAGATACCAATTTAAGACATGCTGCATCTTCATCAGGAATACGCTTCTGAAGCTTAACAAGGTCGGCCATAATTTCACAATTGAAATTGAACTGTATCTGGTTACCCTCACCTTTAAGTTTAACTGACACTTCTTGCTTGAGTTTGGTAGCGAAGTTCTCATTGCCAACGGCCAAGTCTTTGTGAAGAGTAGCGATCTTCCCGTCAAGATAGGTTTTAAACAGCGAGAATGTATCCACCAAGTCGTTATTACCAGTATGATGTGCAGAACTACCATCAGGCAACGAATGTACACTAGGACCAGGCAAAGATTCATGGTCAGAATCTAGAAGTTTCTCGGAGTCAGACATACCACAATAACGAACTGCTGCTACGTTAACTATAGGCAAACATCGAATAACTTTATTTTCTCAAACGAACCCCTTAAGTAATACTTAATCATGCTTTTCACGAATCTCATGAGCGCATATACCCGTAAAAACCGCATTGCGGGTATATGCCATCCAATCAAATAGAACATAAACACACACCATGTGCTTGATGTAAACACACACACGTGTTTATAGTAAACAATCACTTGACCGTAACTACGTCATGTGACCAATACCTTTAATAAATATATTTATATAAAGGTCAAACGTTCACTTATTTCGAATACAATGCAAGACTTTTTTTAACTAAGAACATGTTTTGATTTAGAGTTTTTTCGTTTCCTTTCAGTAAAGAGATCTTAAGACGGAACAAAAATAATTTATCAAAAAGATGTGTTCTGATTTATGCATAAAACGGGCATTAAAAGAAAAAAATGAAAGCTTTCTTCAGTATGTAGTACATGTAGGCGGATTAATTACTTCATTCTTTCCACGACTTGAACAATCAGCTTTCATTTTAGAATCCAACTAAAGAAATTAAGAAGCTTGCAGACTTTCTTGAAATCAACGTAGCAGACGAAATTGTTGAGGGCATAGCAAAGGCAACATCGTTTGACAATATGCAGAAGAACAAAATGGATTTGTCAAAACTCGTATCAAGTGATGGACAAGGTTTTATTTATAGAAAAGGTAAGTTTATTACTTATGTTCCCAGTTGACCATGTGATCTCTAAAAAGAATACAATTACAGTACAAGTTTATATGCTTGATTTCTTTGAATGAAAATAAATCTTTACAATTTCGAACTCCAGAATCACTTTTCTGTATCTACTTTTAGAAAGAACCTAAATCTCAACATTTGAAACCCGGAGATGTATAATTAAATTACATGTACATGTCTGTTTTATTATAATCCGTACTTTTGATTTTCTAACAACAATCGCAAGACACTCCACTATCATATTTTATTTCCGTATAAAATACAAAAGCTATTGCACGTACTCATGTATCCGTGACAATGTTGATGTAATGTATTGAAAAACAAACGAAAAGCTTCATATAACTATTAAGTTTATCATGTTGATGATTGTATCGTAAACAAGTAATTTTATATGGTTACATGTAAAAGCATTGATCGTGCGCACATTTTTTTATTTTAAGCGCAGAAGTGTTGACTTTTACATCCATGTCCTTTGGTTTTGTGTGGATAGGTGTCTCCTTGGCAATCTTACAACTGAATATCTCCTTTATATTTTGTATTCTTCTGTACAACACATAGATATGATATACATTAAATGTAGATATCTAGTTGTCAGAATGTTTAGATTAATCAACAGGAAAAGTTAAATTGATTTGTCATCGCATGGTTTCTGAATTTCTTTTGCCATTAGAAAAAAATAAGCAACAATTTGATAATTTATCAAAAGATTAATGAACGAATGCGTGTAGATTGTACACTGCGATTCTGTTTTTAATGTCTATTGTTAGTCATCGTTAACACATACATGACATACTTGTATAAAATATCATATTATCGCTGGGAAGAGTATTTGATTTGGCACTCTTACTCATGTTATTCAACTATATTACACTTTATTCATTCACAAAGCGATCTAACTCCCGTTGGACCCTTATATTTCGTAATCGCGAAACCGTGCTCGTCCTAGGCTTTTATCTCTAAAAAAAGTTCTTGAATTTGACTATCTTTGAATTTGATTTGATGCCAAGTTTTGACCTTATACGTAATTTGAATAAATGGGACACAGATAATGCACTCGCTTGCATATACCGCTATAAAGGGCCATGACTGGAGAACGGTAAAAGTGACGTAATCCAAATTCGAACTTGATCTGTATTTTATGGTAATTAGCATTGCGTGTAAGTTTCATAACATTTGGTTGAGGCAAACTAAAGTTAGAGAACGGAAACCAATTTTGGGACGTATGGACGGACAAGGGTAACACTTAATGTCCACTCCGGTGACGGCGGGGTTTTTAAAAGACTATGAGGAAGAAGTGTTTGGAATAGGGTATTACTTGTCTTTAAGCAGGCTTTTGGTATATTTTAAAAAGGTGACAACCTTAACGTATGTCTTATTTCATAGTCTGTTAGAACCTGGAAATAAACAAACATACACTGAAATTGAATTGTGTAACGACACTCGGTGTTCGTTATCAAATCTGGTTTTGATAGAATGTGTTTTCTTCAAGAGCAGAATGCATGACTACATATAAAACTTTCATTCACTCTGACTTTGTTGGGTATCACATTTAAAATGTGTATAATTAACAAAAAACACAGAACAAATAATAAAATGTAAATTTAACCAGTACATGCCACAATTTTGTCCGTATTTCATATGGTATGATTGTCAATAAGACAACTATCCACCAGGGTCCAAGTGACGTGGATGTAAGCAACTATAAGTTACTGTACGGCCTTCATCAATGAGCAACACACATATCTTATAGTCATCTATAAAAGACTCTGGCATGACAAAGGATGAAACAATTCAAACGAGAGAACCAACCGCCTGATGCAAGTGTATATGCTAAAACATTAAAAACAAAACAAATACAACCACTGAATAACATGAACTTGGGACAGGCTACCAAATTATGTGACGGGTTTAACATGTTTGTGAGCTCATAACCCACAAACATTGGATATTGGTACATTTATAACAATACAACATATAATGAACAAACTGAAAAACCAGTGGGAAGTGCCTGGAAGTGCCTGGAATTGTCAAATCGGCACGATCATTTTTCAATGAAATGAATCCTGGTCCTATAACGCATTTCAACTATTCATTAACACTAGAACACACCCACGAAATCGCGGGCATTTAGAGCGTGGTTGAAAGTATGTAAACTGTATTAGGGTGAATTTTTGTAAAAGACTTTATGACTGGAGAATTTCAGGAAAGGTATCAAAAGTCAAAGGTACTGCGACAGGACAATATTTTCTAGCCCTCTCCCTTTTTTCCGAAGTTCGTTATTTTTTTGTTTTCTGTTAAGTTCAATTATTTTCGCGTTTTCTGTATACTATGAACATACATAATTGTTTATCATAAATAAAGTGTATTTGCTATTTACTAGCAATTCCAACTTTATCATCCACGGCGGTCACTGATATATTATATAGAGAGTCTCTAGCTTTTATAGTAGTATGATCATAGTATACATGCAGATAAACGCGAAAATAATTGTCCTGTCCCCGATAACTTAATGAAAATTATGTGTAATTTAAACAGTCCTAAACGGAAGTCTTTGTCTATGACTTAAAAGTCCGTCCGATGACGGAAACAATATCCGGACGCCTTTGTTTTCGTTTTTCTCCCAAAATAACCCAAACTGAATAATCATTAGAATAGATGACAAATGCGACTATGCATGGTACCTATAGGACACAGAGGCATGATGATTAATTTATTGTGGAAGGAAGAGAAGCGACACACAAAATGAGGTCTTCTCATTTAATAGTATAGATACTTTATAAATAAACCTATTTTAAAAATCATGTTGATCTTAAAACGCTGTGTGTGTAAAATAAATTCATTTCATGTCTTATCCTTAACAGTTTGATTAACTTTCAAAATAATTGATTACATTCAGAAATTTTCGTTTTTATATCCTCGCTTTAAAAAAAGGGGGGGGGGTATACTGTTTTATCTCAGTCTGTCCTTCCGTCAGTCCATCCATCCATCCGTCAGTCCTTCCGTCCCATGAATATTTTCGTCACATTTTTCTCACGAACTACTTGACAAGGATTTCTGAAATTTGGTTTCAGGGTTTATATTAGTAAGTTACACCGTGTGATGCGTTTTCAGATTCACCACCCAACAACTTCCTGTTTACCGAACAATTGTGTTATTTTACACATGATAGCCAAGTTGAAAATTTTCGTCACATTTTTCTCAGGAACTACTTGACAAGGATTTCTGAAATTTGGTTTCAGGGTTTATATAAGTAAATTACACCATGTGATGCGTTTTCAGATTCATCACTCAACAACTTCCTGTTTACCGAACACTTGTATTATTTTACACATGATAGCCAAGTTGAAAATTTTCGTCACATTTTTCTCAGGAACTACTTGACAAGGATTTCCAAAATTTGGTTTCAGGGTTTTTATAAGTAAGTTACACCGTGTGATGCGTTTTCAGATTCATCACTCAACAACTTCCTGTTTACCGAAATATTTCGGCGGGGGTATCATAAAAAAATTGAATAAAAATATTAATACCATTATGATTGTTTGTTTAGAACTTAATTACATGTACATACTAATTTTTATTTATTTATCTATTTATTTATTTAATATACATAATAGAATAACTACGACTGAATACGAACGTCAGTTAAGAAATCAAAGAATATATATTTTATTTACATAAAATGTTTGTTTAAATATGTTGTCCACAAATATTTATATTTTATTTGTAGGTGAGATAGGCGATTGGAAGAATTATTATACTGTTGCTCAAAATGACCGGTATGAAGCTCTGTACAAGGAGAAAATGAAAGACAGTAAATACAAATTTCAGTACGAATAAAATGACTGTGCGAAAACGACTTACTTCAGTCATTTGTTTTCGTAGTTGACAGAGAAAGGGTAAAGAAATGAGAGCTCATCAACAGAAACTTTTAGAAGTTAGACATATAATAAGGGACGCAACTCTTAAAAGTCACAGGAACGTTTGTGTCAATGATTTTTATAGATATATCATTAGCTTCTTAGTCACACATATTATTCAATTTCTGTTTCACATGAATGCTTTTAAAGAGTAATTATGAAACTGCCTTTAATAAACGCATTACTGATTTTAAGATTTATCTCCCTTAACCAAGGTCTGTCGCATTAATTTCATTTTTAAAAAATTTTTATTATGGATAAAACTGACAATATTTTATTCAGATATCATGTTTTAGGCAGTGTTTTGTTTGAGTTGTTAACTTGTCTTTGGACATCTTCCATGCACTCTCGTCATAAATATTTATCATCCATCAATGTCTTGAAAAAATTGTATTTCCAACCAAAATACTCGAAGTGTCGAACTGTTCACATACCAGCGTTTATCTGTGAACGTAAATGTATAGAGGACTTTATGGTATTAATAAGCGTTTCAGTGAGATGTTAAGCGTTTCAGGGAGATGCTAAGCGTTATCGTAAAAATGGGGAGATGTGGTAAGATTGCCAATGCGACAACTATCCACCAAAGTTAAAATGAAGTTAAAGAAAGTAATTATAGGTAGGTTCATTATAGTTAATTACCACTAGATATGTTCGTTGTGGATCCGTCCTTTACTCACTTGAAAGCGCAATTCCACATTACCCTTCCAAAAAGGCTTTCAATAAAATTTCAGTATAGATAATACACATAAGAAGTTGTAAATGAACACAAAATATTTGGTCAGTCATTTTGATTGGCATATAAATGAACTTTTAACATATGAAAGGCAATTTATATGGAAGGAGATATCATTTTGCGATTTGCTCACAATAACACTGGTGTATGGCATGTATTGACTTCATGTGATTCTTTATCATAAGTTGTAGTTTTGTTATAAATAAATTAAAATGTGCAGTAAGATTGATTATTTTCACTCTTTAGTGAATAATGGTGGATGTGTTAGCACATAAGTCACGCACGGTCTATGTCTGTAAGATTAAATACGTATGTGGCACGTGTGCTATGTGTTGTAGACGTACAAGATCACATTTGGTAATATACAATCATTTGTGGAGATATAAGTTCCAATTTAGGAATATGTATTCCTATTTGGAGATACAAGAGCCCATTTTGGAATATGCAATCCTCTCTGGAAAAACAGGAAACCATTTTTGAATATGTAATGTCCGTGGACATACAAGAGCCATTATGGGGATATTTGTTGTTTTGTGTTTGTTTAGTTGTACGGGATGTATAAATATCATAACGTTTAATTGACTCACAGGTTATTGGAACTGAAATTACTTTCCAACAAATGAGAGGTGTCAAATTGGCGCATCAATAGCCTTATTCTACCCAACCATCTGTCTTTGTGCTAAAACAGTCACGCTCTAAAAACTAATGTAATCTCGGTAATATTTTCAAAAAGCTTAAAGCAAACACTGTAATTGATTGAAAACGGATATCCAAAATTTATAATGGCGCTATTCTGTATACATTTCGGTGCACGTAAAATATCTGAATTACGCTCAAATGTGAATGGTTTGGAGGGTTTTACCTCGTGTTAGTCAGTTAAATTGACACTGATGTACTTTGTAAATGTACTGTTCTGTTTTGTTCTGTACAGGTACATGTATGTACCTCCGTTTACTTCGGAGCTTTCCACTTATCGGATGAGCAATTAATATTATTAATAAGATTCACTACTATGTATGAAAATGTTATTTACAACTTAGTACTAAAATTCCTTATTTACATTATACTGCAAATTAAACCAGCAAATGACATTTGACATAAAAACCTGTAAGAAAAAAGTAAAATCACAAAAATACTGAACTCCGAGGAAAATTCAAAAAGGAAAGTCCCCAATCAAATGGCAAAATAAAAAAAAACAAACACATCAAACGAATGGATAACAACTGTCATATTCCTGACTTGGTAGAGGCATTTTTTTATGTAGAAAATGGTGGATTGAACCTGGTTTTATAGCTAGAAATGGCACATGTTATGAATCGACTAGTCGTTACATATGCATCAAAATGATTCCTAACTCTATGTTTAGTTCATAAACTATGGTGAGCACAAACTGACTTGACAACATTTCAGACAAACAGAATTAATGTTTAAACAGTGTTTACAAGCTAACAATAAAATAGAAAATATGTCATACTGACATGGTGGTGTCATTTCCTGATGAAATATTACAATGATAGAAGCGAGAAATTAATGCATTTCGTCTAAGCAATGTGTACTTTTCCGTTTTAGTACAAATTCAACCCATGTGTATGCACTATGTTCATGGCCTAATGGTTGCAGAACCAGTAAAGATAATTTAAATGAACTGCTTTAAATTCACAGTGTTCAAACTGTAAACTTATCATCAATTTCATATTCGCCGCGGTATAGCCTTTTTGTGTGGATGTGGCGTAAAGCAAACACCAATCATTCAATATTCATACACGTTAGAAAAAAATTAAGAAAAGTTGCAGTTATATAAAAACTGCATGGACTATTAGATCTCATATAATTTCATGACTTTACATTTGTCATAGTATTTTTCTTTTGTTCTCTGCGGTCTATCCATGTTTTATATTTACCAAAAGACAACTAAAAAGATCTAGAGGTACAAATACACAACAAAACATTAGTCAAATGTCTTAATAGAAAAGAGAGTATATGGGATATCCATTTATGACACAAATTCAGTACATGCACAACCAAAAACACTACAAAGCAGAGGAACAGCGCTTTTATTGCTAACCTTCATCCAAAAGTCAAAGTGAAGCCTTCAATACATAACAAACAAAATCTCAACGCACTGAATAAAAAAGGCCATAACTATAAAAAAAAAAACCATAAGAGCATACATTTCATCAAGCATAGGGAAACTTTCTAAGGCCTCCACACAGCACAAGCTTAACATAATGACAAGGGCTAAGTAAGTGAACTTACTTAAAAAAATTGATCCTTTATGTTCATTATATAATAATTTAATATTACGAACGCGCTTTTTGTCTACATAAGACTAATTATTGACGTTTGAATCAAAGCAGTCAAAATCAAGAAGTGAATTGATAACCCAAAATTCCAAAATAAGTGCTGGATCTGGCTTAGTCTAGCAATTCCTGGGGGTAGAAAATCCTAAGTATTTTGAATGATTTTAATGTTTCATAGAAGTGAATTAAAAGGAAAAAGTAAAATAACAAAAATATCGAACTCCAGGGGTAATTAGAAACGGAAAGTCCTTTATAAAATGGCAAAATCAAAAGCTCAAACACATCAAACGAATAGAAAAGAAGTGACATATTTCTGACTTGGTACAGGCATTTCCTAATATAGAAAATGGTGGACTAAAACTGGTTTTATAGCTAGCTAAATCTCTTACTTGTATGACAGTCGAAAAGACCGTTTCAATGATATTTCGGATCAACACATGAGCACTGTCTATTTTGCTGTTGACACCATCGTAGACGAAATGTCCTCCAGCAGTGGCATGGACCCAGTTGTAAAAATTCATCAAGGATACCAGATTTGTTATTTAATACGCTCGGTATAAGTCTCATCAATGGCCGCGAATCAAAGCAGTTGGAAGGCTAAGATCAAATGCGAAATTGAAGTGCATTGAAAACAAAAAAAATAAAAAAACGTCGGAATAGATAAATGGATGGCTGTTGAACGTTTTACTAGACAGACACGTTTAGCCGCATTTTTAACGTGCTAGTTAACAAGGTAACAGTCCGCAGTCACCCTACCCGGACACATTATTCTGACTCCGAGCCGACCAGTCTTAGCTCTTACTCCTAAATGCCGCGTGATTAACAGAGAAGCAGCAAATACCAGTTTAAAAGCCTTGGTCTGATCCGGTAGGGGATCGAACCCACGACCTCCCACACTCGAGGCGAGCACGCTACCATGATACCACCAAAAACGTAATGCCAAATCTGCCTAAGGCCATCCATCGTAAAACAGTTTAATTAAATACAGAACTATAAATCTGACTGTAACCAATAAATAAGTCGTGTACGATAAGTATAGACGAACAAATCAACAGCATTTGTTAGATTTTTTTCCGGTACACTGTTACCCAAAGCGTTTTCTTTAGCGCACATATATAGCATGGTAGACATCTAGCAAACAAATTTCATGTAATCCATTGCTAGGGCCCGCCTTGAAATTACAGTAAAAGAGGGACGAAAGATACAAGAGGGACAGTCAAACTCCTAGATTGAAAACAAACTGACAACGCCATGGCCAAACATAAAAAGACAAACAGACAAATAATAGTACAGATGACACAACATAGAAAACTAAAGACTAAGCAACACGAACCCCACCAAAAACTGGGGGTGATCTCAGGTGCTCCGGAAGGGTAAGCAGATCCTGCTCCACATGTGGCACCCGTCGTGTTGCTTATGTTATTACAAATCCGGTAAATAGTCTAATTCGGTAGGTCACATTCGTGAAAAGGGAAGGATATTGTAGTTACGACATAAGGAACGTATCCGAAATCATCTGTGAAACAGTTATTCCATAACGGTCAACCAACTCGTGATGGCGTCCGTAAAATTTACGAAGGGGTGATTTCAACTTCAGCATTTGGAACTCTTGGTTTAATAGCTTCCTTGTGAGCAGCAATCCTCTATCAAGGAAATCATGATAGGAAATACAAGCCTGGGAATATCGTATCAATTGGGAGATATATACTCCGTATGCAGGCGCTGCTGGAATGTTGCTACATAGAAATGGAAAGTTCACAATTGGGAAGCCGAAATCATCTCTTTTGTCGTAAAGTTTTGTTTTCAACCGACCCTCATTGTCAATTTCTAGATGTAAGTCAAGATATGAGACAGACTTAACTGTATCTGTAGTATCCTTTATCTCTAGTTCGATGGGATAGATTCGTTCAACATAGTCACCAAATTTTGTATTATATAGTGAGAAAACATCATCTATATAGCGGAACGTAAAGTTAAAGGATATTGCTAACTTTTTATCTTTCTTCCTAAGAAGTTCCTGTTTGAAGTCAGCCTCATAATAATAAAGAAACAAGTCGTCAAGAAGAGGGGCACAATTGGTTCCCATTGGAATTCCGACAGTCTGTTGAAGAACACGTCCTCCAAGCGTAACAAATATGTTGTCAATCAAGAAATCAAGCATCTTGATAATGTCAGTTTCAGAGAATTTTTTGTTTGAATCAGAGTGATTCTTTACAAAGTAGGATTTATCCCTCCCCAAGACAAGATACTTGTATCTACGTTCGCCATTCTTTTTAATGAAACAAAGTAATACCAACTCTTTCAATTTGTCTTTTAGTTTGGAATGGGGAATACTTGT